GGCAGCGGCAGCCAAAAGCGAAATCATGAAGGGAGACAAGCTTGGGAAACAAGGCGGCAGCGGCAGCCAATTTCCGCAATCCAGAACCCATCCATTGAGAAGTAAGAACCCCTATAGCTTCCAGCTATCTGGGGAAAAAGTTCAGGTCCATCTGCACTTTTGCGTCCTTTAAGCCAATGCAAGTGGTCGGGCACAACCTTTGTGTAGGGATGCCGTAAGCAACTGCACATACTTCAACAATTTGGGCACCCCCAAATGGGCCACATTGCAAAAAATGTGACATGGAAGGAGGCATACAAGCACCGCAATGCGTTGCCCGGCAGCATGTTGGACGAGCGACATGACGTCATATGTTGAGCAAAATGATCATATGTTGAGCATTTTTTGCTAACAACATCAGCAAAACATGAAACTTAAGAAAAAGGAAGCGCCTGGTGTCGGTGTGTGTGGTTTGTACAGTCTTCTGTGTGCATCACCAGGCCGTGTGGCTTGTTGCTCGGCCAGCGTGTTGTGCGCTTCGATGCTGGATCGTTGGCTGCCCAATCAATAATAACCTGGATTGTTGTTCAATGGAAACCAATCGTACTGTAGTGACTCTATAGTCACCAACTGTAGTCACTGTAGTTCACTGTAGTCACCAACTCTCACCTCAACGAACACCTAGGACCTAGTTCCTTTGTTCCTTTTTGTGGCAACATGTCCCAAACACTCCATGTGCTTTTTTCTGCCAGATTTAATGTGTCGTAATTCTTGCATATGTTTGCTCTACATTAGGGTGGTTGACCTTGGGGAGGGGGGCGCATATATTCCAGTCTCTTTTTTCGTGCACCTGAGTAAAAAGAATGTCTCAGCCACAGCCCAAACTCATCAACCCGACGTTCTGCGGCTGGCCATTCCAAACTGCCATGGTCTTCACACTCAAACTTTGGGCTTCCCTTAAACCAATTCTCCCTATTTGTGAAAAAAATCAAGTCAATGGCGTTTTTGCTGTCCAACAGGGCACCTCCAACATAAAGGATCCGATCCTCTTGCCTCGACTTGAAACAGGGAAATCCCCGATAGGTACCAGAATACCAATCAACTTCCCCAGCGAGTAGTATTCTACCTGCTGCAGGGAAAACACATGTCTCATCATAACAAGTTCCGGCCCATCTGCAATTTTGCGCCCAACAGGTGTAGGGATACAGTAAGCGCCTGTCCACTGTACATATTTCGCACACCTCCAAATGGACCACATTGCAAAAGAATGCAGCATGGTGCTGGCGAGAGGAATGCAACGGTAGGGGCACTGCAGTGTGTTGTCCGGCAGCATGTTGGACGAGCAACATGACGTCATATGCTGAGCAAAGTCACCATATCATATCCCAAACAAAGTCTTTGCCACTCAACACCATCAGAACACAATAACTCAAGAAACAGAACACAAGCCTCTGGTGTGCATTGTGTGTGCGTGCCACCCGTATACGGAAGAACTGTGGTGCGCTCAGCACCTCGGCGGCGGAATCCTGGGAATCCCATGACGGATCGGACTTGACCTAATTACAGATTGTGATTCGGAGTCTTCCGAGTGTTTCTGAGCCATTGTGAAAACCACAGGTTGGTGAATAGAACATCCCAGCAAAAGTGACCGGAGGTAATAGAACACCAACCACTCAAAATATGGCAAACGGCTTCTGGCCAGTGGTGTTAACTACCGTAGCCGTATCCCAATGATCAAAGAATGTCGAACCCCCGGTGCTTGTTTAATTAAAAGCCGAATTGACAGAATCCAAGGTTTTGTCTAGAGAGTGGCTCATATTGTCACCTTGGATCACCTTGGCAGTTTAAACAGGTCACATTGATGAGGTGCGTGGAACAGAATCCCAAACACAGCCAGACCGATCGGGCCAGGGGTGGTTGATTTCAGGGGTCAATCTGGGTATATATTCCAGTCCCATGGAGTATCTGGGAGTGTTGCAGCCTCAAAAATAATCAACCCGACGTTCTCCAGCTGGCTATTCCAACTGCCTGGGAGTCAAGTCATTCGCGATCTTCGTCCAACAGGCCAACTCAGTGCCACTCGAGAAAGCTGCTCTGTATCCGGTCCCTGCCCGACTGTTCGACTTAGCTCAGTAGATCCCCCAGAAGAGAAATATGTTTTAAAGAATGCAACTTAGCAACTTTGTGTTCAGGAACTGCTTCGGAACCGGTCTTGGACTGAGTTATATAGCACCCTTTGGCAAGCTGCCACATGCCCTAGTTCACAGAAGACAAGCCAAATAGGAAACCTCCTGAAGAAGCAAAACTATACAACTATGCTATATGTAACGGTGGTATTTCTGCCAACCTGGCTTGAAGGTTGCCAGTTCAACATTGTTGGGTCCTGATATATTATTGATTTGTTGAAGCCGTTTGAACGCACACTAACTCAATCTGCTGAACACATTGCAAATCATTGATAAATTCCAAACTGTTTCTGTTTGCATGCAAGGGGGTCCATCTGCTCTTGCCACATTCGCACACATAGAAAGGACGCCAAGAAAACTCATCGTACAAAATTGTAGAGCACACATATTGCTTCGGGTCGTTTCTGCTTGTGGCAATTTCAATTTCATGTGGTTTTGCCTCTGGGGAATCTGCAGTCAGCAGTCTTCAAAACTTGCAATCTAGTCGCCAAAATACGTCGACGATCTCCAACAATGCTGAGCGAACCAGGAACTGTTTACAATCTATTAATCATCTCTTGAAACCCTAGCAACAAGCTCGCTTGCTCAAATTCTTCGCTCGCTCGCTCGCTCGCTCGTGTCGTTCACAAGAAAAAGGACGTCGCTAAAGACCTTTGAAGGTCTCTGGAGGCAGGGCCAGCTCAGCCCATCGCCGCTTCAACTCCATCAGGCGCTCCTCCTCTCGGTCAGCGGCGTCCTTCTTTGAAACATGCTGGAGGTAAACTTTCTCCTCAGGACAGCCAGGCTCGTGTAGACTTCCACGAACAGGTGGAATCAACCGCTTGTTTGTACGAGTCTTCCCAGGGGCCATGCCATCCACTTCAATCCCAATCAGTGTGCACTCGATGGGGCCCTACAGAAATATGTATATAACATTATAAAACCAGCTTCCTTTGTAATAGTGTGGACTTGTGAGGATCCAATGTCAGTCTATAGGGGAGCGGTGGCGAAAGATCAATGAATTCTGAGCCAGAAGGAGAAAGGAGCAACCATGACTCACACTGGATGCCCAAACCATGGTTAATCATGAATCAACATAGCCTTGTGCCGGCAAATGTTTTTCCTGAAGAGTTGTTATGAGTTTTTCAGTGGAGGCAACTTCTGGACTCCCGCCTCGGAGGTTCTAGCGTCCACTTCTTGAGCGAAACCCAATACTCCGGCCGCTTGGCCCATGGCGAAGCATGGAACAACTAACTACCCTCCCTCCAACAATCATGGAAGTGGACAATGGCCTCCTGGAATACGTTTCTCCTCGACAAGCGGGAGGTTGTCCACTTCCATGCTTGTTGGGTGTCGAGCATAAAGATCGTCAAGCAAAGCGTGGATACACAGGGAATGGCGGGACATAGTTCCTATAAAGGTCAACCAAGCGGATCCTGTCTCACTGACTTGCCAAGCATCTGTGAAAGTTGGATCATCAGGCGAAGTCTTTTCGAGCACGGTGGAGAAGCTCTCCAAGCTGCCGCTGAAAAGGATCAAACCACCTAGTGTTTGCCGGCGACGCTTGCTCAAAATTGCTGAGGTACGTCTTTCTTGCGGAGGGTCTACAGGGTCCAGCTACTACTAGTATTATAATAGAAGTCCTGAGGTCCTGACAATAGGCTTTGCTTTTCACAACCTCGTGTGGTGACCACAACTACTGATTGCTACTTGTCATATAATAGAACATATTCTCAAACTAGAACAGATTCTGATCAATCCTTAGATCTAGGGCCTCCGATGGCCTTGGACACTTTGCCTTGATCGCATGTCTTGCAGGCCCCGCTGAACGGGCGGGGGCTTCGACCTTAAAGAAGCCAAACCATATGATTGGCTCAATTGCATTGCATCATGTAAACACACAGGAGGCTCAATGATCTTCGACCAACTTCGATCACATGATTGGCTGTTCAACTCCTTGGGAGATATGAGAGTCTCTGGGTGTAAATCTTTATAGGGAGGCCCCCTGGAAAGCACAGCCAAGGAGTCTTCTCTTCTGCT